AGCTTCAGCTGCAGCGGGGAATGCGAGTGGTGGGCGGGGGTTGGCCAGGAGGTTTGATTTCAAGGGCCGCACCAAACCATAGCTTAAGTAAAAAGCGCTCGGCTCTAGTCGGCAGGCTGGCCACACGCGCGCGATCGGGTCGGGACTCCTGCCCGCCGAACCGCTCGTGCGCCCCAGCTGCTACCCGCCGCAACTGCTACCCGCCGCCGAATCGCCTACCCGACGAAACCAGCTGCCACCGCAGATTTGCGCGCGCGGTGGCACTTGCCCGACGGCTCCACCCACATGGTGTAGGAGTGTCCGTGGTTTCCGCTGCCCTCGCCGCGGATGTAGGCTTGGGTCCACCATCCGCCCTTGGCCGTCACCATCTTCGGCGCGGCGCTCTCCTTCGCCGAGGCAGCGGCGGGCTTCATTTTCACCGAAGCCGCCGTCGCCATGGCGGGCCTCTTGTTCACCGAAGAGGGCGCCGCGGCGGGGCGCTTCAGCGCCCTTGCCTCGCCCTTGGCGTTGGCTTTGCCGTTGGCCTTGGCCTTGCCATTCGTGCCCTTGGCCACGGCAGCCATTGCCGCCGCCGCGGCGTCTGCGGCGGCGCCTTCGCCGTCGCCGCCGCCGCCAGCGTCGCCACCGTCTGCGTCGCCCTGGCCCGCTGCCGCCTCTTCGCCAGCATCAGTAGTTGGCGGCGGCGGGATCGGGTGCGCGGCGGCGCTGCCAGTCCCGACTGCGGCCGCGGCCTTCGCCAGTGCGCCGCCCCACTTCGGCGTGCTCAGCGGGGGTGCAGCGGCTGCTTGGCCCACCGCGCCGCCGTCCTCGATTGCGAGGACCCCCCCCGCGCTGGGCGGGCACCCGCCGTAGCTGGTGAGGAACCGCGCGACTGGCTGATGCTTTCATGCTATGTTATGTTATGGTTGTAATGTTATTGGTGTAGCGTCGTTTACGTGTTTGTATTGTGTTGGAGGGGTACCTGATCAATCCCGTTGCCTTTCGACTGACTGGCGCGCGAGGTGGGCAAGGAGCTGTGCGTGCTGCGCATGGGCATATTGCTGCACATGTGCGCCAGACCCACGATGATGTTCTGCGCGGGCGGGCCGCCCTCAGTGCACGCGGCGGTGTACACAGGTTGCGCGAGGTCGTTTGGGGTAGTGTAGTTGGGCGCGAGCACGATCCTCGCCCGCGCGCCGTTGCACGGTGGGGCACGGCGCAATATATACTATTGCACACCGCTTCCAGCCCACAGCCCCTTCACACCATCCCCTCAACAACGCCTTGCGCCCAGCCCACCATCCCGTCGGAGTGGGCGATGGTTGCAGCATGGCGCTCGTCACGAGCGCGCTGCAGCGCGCTGCAGCGCGCTACATGGGCAGACGGGCAGGGCGAAGCCTCCATGTATACTTTCTGGGGGCGCGCGACGGCGGCTCCCTTGCGCTGACCACGCCGCGCGGGCCTCCTTGGCCACGGACCTGAACTGGACAGGATTGTCGCAGCCCATCAGCATGCTCACAATGGCGCAGACGGGGCGCAACGCGTTGTCCGACGGGATAACCAGCCCGAGCGCCTGTGCAACGACAGACATGGAGCTACAGCTCCGATTCGGCGGGGCGCTTCCCCGCGCAACGCAACGGGCATGGAGCTGCAGCTCATGCGTGGACAATCTAGCGGCGTCACATGGTTCCACGACACGGGTGCCTGAAGGCGCTCGGCGATGACGCCCACTTTCGTTTTCATGCTGCTCGCCGGGTTCAGCTGATCCCAATCGCCGCGCGTGGGGAAGTAGTTCGGGTTGTCCATGTCCTGTCGACCGAACCCCGCCCGCCTCCCCCCACGCGCGCGCGCGAGAGCGCCATCATCAACGCGACCCAGAGCAATTACAACGGCGGCACCACCAGCAACATAAGCACTACCATCAGCAACATCACCACCACCATCCGATGCAAAACAAAACATAAATCACAACAACACACACCACGATGACAAACACAAGTCCTGGCGGCGGCCAATCTTCATGTCGCCGCTGCCCATGCCACCGAGCACCCGTTGGTTGACTGCAGCAGTGATCTCTGCCTTTAAGTCGTCAGAGAACCCGCCGCTACCACCAGGATGTGCATTCGGCGGGGCTGGCTCGATGCTGCAGCACCCCGTGCCGCCAATGCTATCCCACGCCCCCCATCCCACCCCGACCCCCGCCCACGCTCAACCCAGTCATGCCCGAATGTACGTGCGTGCTGGGTGGCTGCAGCCCGTTCGATATGCTCGCTTGTACTTTCTCGTTGATCAGCGACGCGTCGTCCATCGCCAGCTTGGCCGAGCGGACCGATGCAATGATGGACATCGCCATGGTCCGACTGTTCTCAGCGCTCGCGGCGTGGGAGATGGCACCCGTCTGGGAGCTAATCATGCAGCGATCCATGGATTCGATGCGGCGGGCGATCTCCATTGCGGCCACGCGAGCTGGAGTTCGAGCTGCAGCCAAACTGGATGGGGGGCGGCGTGACAGCGCTCGAGATGGAGCCGACGCGGCAGCGGCATAGCCTGCGTCATCTGAAGAGAGCAGGAGCTGCAGCTGTTGGCAGTGCGCACGCGGGCGTGGGCTTCAGCCCGTGCCCGCGCTGAGGGGAGGGCGGGTCGGGCTGAGCAGTGGCCGATGGGGTGAGCGCCGACGAGGGCGAGGAGGGCGACGCCGACGACGACGATGCGGAGATTGAGCGGATATGAGGCTCATGAGGACTTGGGGCGGGTCTGCAGTCCAGCTCGGAAATCCAAAGCGGAGCTGCAGCTCCGAAACTACACGCGGCGCGACCAATGTGTTCATCACGCGGATAACCGATGCTCCCGCGCAGGGGAGTTCAAGAGCGCGTCGACACACTACGCGCCGAGCCGCTCTAAGACCGCACCAGTGCAGAAGCCGAGGAACTTGGTCGTCTGGGCGGCATTTACCTGGGCACCGTCGACCTGGGCGTTGTCGGACAGCGCCCTGACCTGCATCAGGAAGATCGGGCGCCTGTCCTCGAACTCGCCCTTCTTGACGCCAAGTGCGTCGAGGGCCCGCGCCGGCGCGACCAGAAGCCATTGGGCACTCGACCTGGCGACGAAGGTCGAGTACCAGCCGTTGATCTGTTGCAGGACCAACAGCACGCGGCCGTCGTCGTAGCTCGTCATCCCCATCAGCGCGTCGTAGCTGATCGGCGACAGGATGGTGCGGACCCAGGCGCCGCTGGATGCGCCGACGTCCAGTGACGACGCCGCCACTGAAGGTGCGGGCCGCTTTGGCGGCGTCGGCGTTGCATCCAACGCGCGCGCGGCCGCGGGAGACCCGAATAGCCAACAGGAAGCCCTTAAGAGGCCATCCTACCAGGAAGCCCCAGGAGGCCCCATGGAAGCCCGATGAGGCCCCAGTAACACGCAGCAGCCCTCAGGCGGCTCCAGGAGGTCTCAGGAGGCCCCAACAGGCTCATGGTTCGTATAAATGGGTATAGTGCGTGAACTCACTGTTCTAACATCAGCACCCTGCTCAGCATAATTATCATGACACCATTCCGCATCCCTATCCTATCCCCTCGCCCCAGCGTTCTGCCGCCCCGCGTGCGCCGAGGGAGGTTGAGGAGGCATGACGTGATGATTGCGATGATGATAATGATGATGACGACGTCGGTGGTGATAATGATGATGATGATGGCGACGGTGGTTGATGGTGCCGGTGATGCCGCTGCATCGCACGCCCGCGCGCCGCGGTTTCGACTCGGGCGCGCGTCTTCCATAGGCATCACCGCCAGGGTCACGTCTGCCCCCGCGGGTGGCATACTCCCTCGTCGCCGCGGCTGGACGCGGCTCGGACAGTGAGCTCGGGCACGGCGTCCGAGGACAGCGTTCATGGTGGCCCTGATGACCCATGGGCCATCTTACTCCCGGGCCCTCTGCCTGGGGCCCTCTTGGACTTGCCCGAGCAGATGGAGGAGGGCGACGGCAGGTCGTCCAGCATGCCCATTCCTCGGGCAGGCATGCCGACGATCTGGGTCTTTGACGAATGGGACAACATTCAGCAGGGGAGAAGGCTGGGGAGAAGCCTGTCGGCACCCCCAGCACCTCCAGCGGCGATGCCGATGGAGGATGCCGCGCGCGAAGCGGCGCGCCTCCGCGTCGCGGCGGCGATGGAGCGCCTCGCCGTCGCGGCCGCGATGGCGCGGTGGCTGGGGGGCGCCGCGCCGACGCTGCACGACGTCGCGCGGCCCTTTCTCTGAGGACCCAGCCCGCCCATCGGGGGTTGGTGCTGATGATGATGATGATGATGATGATGATGATGATGATGATGATGGTGACGATGGTGATGATGGTGATGGGGAGGGTGGCAGTCGGGGTGACGATGATGAAGGCGACGCTGGCGACGACGACGACGGACAAGGAATGTGGCGGAATTGCATAAGGAGGGAATGGTCGACGGAGAGGAGGTGGGAACCAGACGACGGGAGGATGCACCGTGCCCTCGCGCGTAACGAGTGCGACCAGTCAGTCGTTCAGCCAGTCAGTTACCCGCGAGGAACACATTCGGGGGGGGTGACGATGGCGGAGAGAGGACATGCCGTTTCCAATGGCGAAAGCCGAACGTGTTGGCGGAGGTCGCGCCTCCAGCGAACGGCACACCTCCACCGAGCACGTGCGGCGTCGGGGAGGGGCCGCGCGCCGCGGGCCCTCACCGCGGGACCGCACCGCGGCCGCGACCGCGAGGCCCCACCGTTGCCACACAAACGACACGCCGTCGTCGTCGTCTTCGTCGTCGTCGCCGTCGCCGCCGTCACCGCCATTGTCCGTCGTCGTCCGTTGTCGCCCGTCGTCGACTCAGCATGCCCAATCTCGTCCGCCGTCGCCGTCCGCCGTCGACTCGTCCGCCGTCGTCGTCCGTCGTCGTCCGCCCGTCGTCGACGCACCCGCTACAGCGGATGAGGGGGGCTGGGTGAGTGAAGATCTGGCACTCGCGGGCCCTCGGCGGCCATCGCAACGGCCTGGCGCGCTCAGTGCTGCATGGCCCTGCCCATGCGGCCGAGCATCTGCTGCGACATGTGCAGGGCCTCCCGCGCCTCGCGCGCGGCGCGCTCATGGTCGCCGAGCAGCAGCCGCATATCATGCAGCTGCCGCTCCGCCGCCGCCGCCTCGCCCGCCGCCGCCTCGCGCGTCGTGCGCAGCACCGCCCGCGCCGCGCGGCGAGCTCGTCCTCCCACGTGCGCAGCCGCCGCTGGAGGAGATCGATCTCCGCCTCCAGCACCTCGGCGGCGGCGGCGGGGGCCGCGGCGGGGGCCGCGGGCGGCGGCGGGGCGGGGCGCGCCGCCAGCAGGCTCGCGGCGCGCAGGCGCGCCTCGGCGCCCGCGCGGGTCGACCCCACGTCGAAGAACGCGCCAGGGCCGTCCACCTGGCGCGCCTCGACCGCGGAGTCGATCGCGGCGTCGATCGCCGCGACCACGGCCGTCCCGGCGCGGCCCTCGAGCTCCACCGTCGAGCCCGCCGCCACCGCGCCGCGCTGCACGTCGGCGAAGCGCACCTCCGCGTCGGCAGCCGCGGCCTGCTGCGCAGGCGCGACGGCGGCGTCGGCAGCCGCCCGCCGCCACTGGGCCAGCGCCGCCGTCTCAAGCATGAGACGGCGGGCCCGCTCGGCCGCGGCGAACTTCGCGATCGCCTCGGCCCGATGGGCGTCAAAGGCGGCCGCATCCACCCACTCCTCGGCGACCTGCCTCGCGACCGCGGCGATCTCGCGGTCGGAGACCACCGCGGGGGGGCCCGCCATCCCCGCGTCGCCCGCCAGCGACTTCGCCAGCGAGCGCGCGTAGCGGTCGGCCGCCATCTGGCCGTCGGGGACCGCGCGGGCGATCCCATGCCGCGCCATGGCCTGCAACCACGGCGGGGCCAGCAGCGGCGGCGCCTTGGGCGGCGGCGCGCCGCCGACCGCCGTCGGGGGGTCGCCGTCGGGGCCGTCCGAGCTCGGCGATCCGTCGGTGCCGCCAGAGCTCGGCGATGCGCCGCCCGCCGCCGCCGCGGCGCCGACGGGTGCTGCCGCGGGGGGCGCGGCCGCTGCTGCCGCCGCGGCGCCGACGGGTGCTGCAGCGGGGCGCGCGGCCGCTGCTGCCGCCGCGGCGCCGACGGGTGCTGCCGCGGGGGGCGCGGCCGCTGCTGCCGCCGCGGCGCCGACGGGTGCTGCCGCGGGGCGCGCGGCCGCCGGGCGCTGCCGCGGGGGGCGCGGCCGCCGCTGGCGTCGCGGCGTCCTCGGCGCCAGCGGAGCGGCGCCAGCGGCGCGGCGGCGGGCCCCCAGAGCCACTGGCCCGCCTTCGGCTCGCAGACGAGCCCGCGGAGCCACGGGCCAGGCGCGACGGCGAGTCCTCAGAGCCGCTTCTCGCAGCCGATCTCGCATCGCCTTCGGCTCGAAGCGTCGAGCCGCCCTTGTCCCGCACCTCCTTGCTCGGGACGCCGCCGCCGACCTCCAGCGGGTTGCGGCCATCCAGCGGCACGGGCGCGCCGTAGTAGCCGCTCGGCCGCCGCGCCGCCTCCTCTCTCCGCCGCTCCGCCTCCTCCGCGGAGGAGCCTCCGCGCGCCGCCGTTCCAGAGGCTCGGCCGCGGGCGGTGAGTACGGGCTCGGCGGCGTCCGCGCGTGAGCCGCCCGCGACGGCGACGACGGCGACCGCGAGCGGTCCGGCGCCGCGACGCCGCGACCGCGAGGCGGTCCGCCGCCCGCCGAGCGCGGCTGGCTCGCCGACGATGCATCGTCGACGTCGGATGGCGGCGTCGGCGTCGGGTCGACGGCCGATGCTGCAGCGCCGACGGCGATGACGTCCGATGATGCAGCGCCGACGTCGGGTGGCGGCACCGCCGATCCCACGCGCTCGCGGCCCGCCTGCCGCCCCTGCAGCGAGGCTGCGAGGGCGTCGTCTGCCCCGAGGCCGCGGGCGTCCGCGTCGGGAACGCGCGCCGCCAGGCTGCCAGGGCGAGGCGGCGAGGGCGGCGCGGGCGACGGCCAGGCCGAGGACATCACCCACGGGGCGCGCCCACAGGGGGCGCGCGCGGCGGTGGGGTGCGCCCACGGGCCGACGTGGCGCCGTCGCCGTCGCCAACATCGGTGGCGATGGCGCCGTCGGTGGCTATGTCACGGGTGGCGAGGAAGGTCGCCGCCGCCGTCGCCATCGTCACCATCGGTGGCTATGTCGCCGTCAGGTGAGCCGCCGCCGCCGTCGCCATCGTCAACATCGGTCGCCGTCACCGCCCTCAACATCGTCGTACCAGTCGGTGTCAGAGGCTGTGTCGGAGCCGTCGCCGTCCTCGACATCACAACCGTAGCCGACGTCGTCACCGTCGGGGGCGGCGTCGCCATCGTAGCCATTGCAGTCGACGTTGTACGCAGGTGATGCGGACCGACGCACTCAGTCGCCTGCGGCGACTGAGTGCGTCGGTCCGATCGTCGCACTCAGTCGCCTGCGGCGACTGAGTGCGTCGGTCCGCATCACTGAGTACAACGACGACGACGACGACGACGATGACACCGACGACGTCAGCGACGGTGACGACGGGGCCGACGACTACTGCGACAGCAGCGGTCGGCGGCGGCGACGACGACGACGGCGGCGACGGCAACGGCGACGGCCACGGCGACGGCGACGGCGACGGCGACGGTGGCGGTGGTGGCGGCACCGCCTACGACTACACTGACTGCAGCAGCGACGGCGGCAACGACGCCGAATACGACTTCACCGGCAGCGGTGGCGACGCCGCCGCCGCCACCGACACGCCAACCGACGGTGACAACGACGACGACGGCGGCGGCGACGGCGACGACTGCGGCGGCGGTGACGGCGGTGACGGCGACCGTGCTGACGGCAACGGCCACGACAACGCCGACGGCGACGGCGACGTCGACGGCGGCGGCGGCGGCGACGGCGACGATTGCAGCGGCGGCGGCGGCGGCGGCGACGGCGACGGCAAAGCTGACGGCGCTGACGGCGACGGCAACGGCGCGGCGGCGACGACGACGGCGACGACGTCGGCAGCCCGCCACCGCGCGTGTTTACACCGCGCGTCGCCGCGGTGCACGGAGAACATTGGGCGCCGAGCACGGTGCCAAGCTGCGAACCGACCGCCCGCGGCACGGGCGATCGCGATAAAACCTCTTACACCCTTGCCCCCCTTGATCGGTGGCGTCGGCGTGTCATTTGGAGTACCCCGCGTCTTCCCAGTCCCCCCCCCATGCGCTGCCCTCTCTGATGCCATCTCCGACGTCCACCCGATGCCCTCCCGCCCGCCCGATGCCCCCCCGTTCCCGTAGGGCGGCGGTGGTACGCTGTGGCGGCGTTGGTGCGTGGCGCCGCCGCCGCAAAGAATGGCCGCGCGGCCGCTCGGCTAACCCCGAGCCGCTACGCCGCCGTCATGGGCGCCGTGGGCGCCGCCGTGGGCGCCGCCGCCCTCCGTCGGCGCCGCCGCCGTCATGGGCGCCGTGGGCGCCGCCGTGGGCGCCGCGCCCCATGCCGCTACGCCCACCCCGCCGCCGCGGGCGCCGCCGCCCTCCGCGGGCGTCGCCGCCCATGAGTGCACCGCCGTGGGCGCGCCACCGCCGCCGTGGCCTTCAAGCGACCACGCCCGCGCCGCCGCCCACGCCACCACCCGCCCATGCCGCCCGCGCCGCCGCCGCCCGCGCCGCTGCCATCAGGCCCGCCGCGGCCTGGGCGCCAGCGCTGGCCGCGGCGGCCTGGGGCGACGTCGCCGCCCGCGCCGCCGCCCGCGCCGCCGCCATGTGGGCCTGCAGCCCAGGCGTATGCAGCGCCCTTCGGCGCCCTCAGGCCCGCCGCCCGCACCGCCGCCCTCTGGGCGCATGCCTGGGCCCGCTCCGCCTCGCGGTTCTTCCCGCGCATGACGAACGCGAGCTGGAGCTGCTCCGCCCACTCCATCTCGGTCAGGTGCGCGGGCCTGCCCGCATGCACTCCCGCCGCCATCGCCTGCTGTTGGAGATAGTCGGCGTCGTACCTGGGGAGTGTCCGCAGCCGCTCCCCAATTGTCGGAGCGGCTGAAGCCGCGGGGGAACAAATTGGCTGCAGCCACTGCGTACGACCGCATCTGAATGCTGCCGCACTCAGATACAGCCGCATCATTTTAGACAAAGTGCGCCTCAGACCCAGGCGGCCAGGAGCACCACTCCCCGGCGAGCTCCATGGCCAGCGGGCAGAACGGGCCCTGCGCCAGCACCACGTAGGCCAGGTCCTGGCAACGCTGGAACCAGCCGCCCCTGTGCGGAACTCGTCGCACACGTACGCGCGCATCGCTGTGAGCATATATGTCCACGCGGCTGCAGCCGATGGACACATGTGCCAAGCATGCGTCGGTACATTGTGACGACCCGCCCGCCTGCCCCGACGCCCGACGGGGTCGTTCGCGGTGGGCCCCACCTGGGCGCCCAGCTGCGCGGCCAGCGCCTGGCGGCGTGTGGCCCTGGCGCGCCCACCGAAGTCCACTGGGCGGGCAGCGTCCAGTTCTGCGGCCAGGTGCCCCCCGCGCATCTCGCGGCGGCGGGCGGTCGTCTCGCTCGCCGAGCGGACGCCCTTGCCCGAGCCCTTGTCGTCGGACGCCCGCGCCTCGCTGGCTGAGCGGCCCTTGCCCGCGCACTTGCCCGCGCTGGGGCCTGCCCGTTGCCGCTCGCCGAGCGGCCACGTGCACTTGCCCGCGCTGCCGCGCGGCTGCCCGTCGGCCGCGGGGGCCGCGGCGCTGGCACCAGCCGCCGTTCGGGCCGCGGTGCTCGGGCGGCGCTGCGGGGAGCGCACGGGCGGGCCGCGGCGCGCAGGCGGGCCGCGGGGCGGCGCGCCCGAGCGCGGGCGCGCTCGGCCGCCGCGCGAGCGCGAGCGCGAGCCGCGGTGCGCCTGGCGGGCGCGTTGCGGCCGCGCCTTGCTGGCGGCGGCGGGCGCGGGGGGGGGGGGGGGGCGACGCCCTGTGCTGCGGACGCGGGATGCGTGAGATGGCTGCCTGGTGACGATATCACCCGTGTCCGACAGCTGCAGCTATCATTGCCACCACCACCCATAATGTGCACGGGGTGGGTGAATTGAGGGGCGTGGGACATGCCCCCGCCCCCTCCCCCACCCGCCACCGAGATATCGTCGCCCGTGTACGGATGATGATATATCGGTGGCGGGCGGGGGTCGGTGGCCGTGATACCTGCACCCCCGAACATTGGCGATTGCGTCCGGTGGGCCTGGGCCACGCCTGCACCCGCGCCGCCGTCGGCCCGCGGGCGCGCCGCCCGCGCCGCCGTCGGTGCGCACGACGGCATCGGCACCGTCGGCGCACCGTGGTCAGCCGTGGGCGCACCATCGGCGGGAGGGGCAGCCGTGGGCGCACCATCGGCGGGAGGGGCGGGAGGGCACGCCGTCGCCGCACCGCCGTCGGAGGGAGGGGCTGACGGGCCGTCGTTGCCACCGCCACCCCCGCCGCCGCCACCAGCCGCAGCCTCCAGCACCTCGTGTAACCCGTAGCTGCGGCACATCAGCGTCGGGCTGGGGTCGGCATTGAGGACGGGCGTGTGCCAGCCCATCATCGGCGGCACCATTGCGCCAGTGGTGCCAGGCGTCGCCGCAGCCCACGCGCACAGAGCAGACGCGGCGTCGCCCGCTGTGGCGTTGCCCGCGTCGCCCTCTGCGGCGGCGCCGCCCGCGGCGCCCGATGCGACGCTGCCGCCCCAGAAGAGGTGCCAGCCCGCCCAGCCTGGGACGGGATGCACAAACCTCACACACACACACACGTTTACGTATGTGTGTACATGTATGCATTGACAGTGCGAGCACATGGAGCTACAGCTGGATGCTCACACTGTCCACGCATAAATGTAAACAAGAATGAGTTGGGCCCGAGGGGCTAGATCACCCAACATAGCCCATGGTGCCCCCCCCCAAGGGGCGCTCTATATACACACAAACATCCCCAATACGGCATCCACGAGATAGCCTCCGACACACGTCCAAGATGCCCCGAACACCGTGCGGTGGTGGTGAGCTGCAGCTCATGTTATGATCATTCCCGCCCCCGCGCCTATCGGCGAATCGTTGCCAAAGAACTTGAGCATGACGTCGCCCGCCTCGGAGGTGAACGCGCCAGGCACCCACGGGGCCCCGCGCTGG